CTAAAACCATGATATGAACTTGGAGTAAAATACAAATGACAAAATCAAAACTACTTTTTCACCAAAAGAAAGAACACCTACTTGTATAATTAATTATTGCACGGAGATGTGAAAGTTCGAGCCGCGCTGGCCAACCCTAAAAAGGAGAGAGTTGGCCTAACTCAGCTCGGCATAAAGCTTGACAGGCCTAGGGCCGGCTCGGAGTTTTATAAGGTATCTTTAAGAGAAAATAAAAAACAAAAAAAGAGGGCGTTTGAGTTGGGGTGGCTCGATTAAGTGTTGAGACTTAAAACCTCAGCCTAACCAGGCCCAGATCAACAATGACGAGGCTTAGAGCAACCCGTTTGGCTTGGACTCAAAGTTGCAACTCTAATTCCAGGACACTTTACATTTCACAAGAGTTATATATAATTACAATATTGTTGTTACTACTATTAAATAATAAAATAAAATAAAAAGAAGTAAGTTCACATACTTTAATTGCTAATTTTAAGTTGATGGAATTCTCAAAAAGAAAAAAGAAGTTACCGAATTCATAAAAATATTGGGAAGCGGATTAATATTAATAAAACTTTAAAATAGCTACTAGGGTTTGTTATTATTTTTCTTACTATAGAAATGGAGAATATTTAAGGACTTATCCTTAAAATTTTATGGGTCTAAATTTTTACATCTTATTCTTAATTAATACTTTTTTGACTATATATTCTCATTTTAATAAATAATAAAAATTAAGACCCGTACAATCTAAAAGAATATTTATCTCTTATTAATTCAGATAATAATAAAAATAGATATATATATATATATAGCATTCATCAATATTAGATATTTAGAAAAGGAAATAAATAATGCAAAAACTACTGTAGTTAGTAGTTACTAGATATGCAAAAGGAACACTAAAAAAAAAAAAAAAAAGCATTCAAATGCTGCGTTTCTAGTAAACTAGTGAAAAAGTCAGAAAGTTTTCAAAGTGAAAACAAATTAAAGGCCCGTTTTGTTGGACTGATGTTCTAGAAGTATGAAATGTAATAAGATATTTATTATTTATTTAATAAAAGAGTTTATTTATTATTTTTTGTGCATATATTTATGAATATTTTATGAATATTTTATGAATATCAATGAAAACTCCATAATTATTTATGTGACCTTAAACATTGTATATAAGTGTTATATGCGAGAGGATAATGTTTAAGGATAATAATTAAAATGAAGTTCGTAATAAACTTAATTAGAGTTCATAATTTTTAATTAAAATATTATTAATACATGTCATTCTCATTTAAAATGGAACAATGTTATCCGCATGCTAATATGGTGAGATATTGAATAAGTGTATTACGCATAATGAGATTATGTGGAATAGTGACACAAACACAATATGAATTTTTGATAATTTTCGTTAAATATAGAAATTCTAATTGCGTATACCGATGGTTATATATTGAATGATCTTAATCATGAATTCTTAACAGACTCCTATTTATGAATTTGTGTATTTTGATTTACTAAGTACGGATTCTGAGATCCTGAATCTTATTCCTTGTATTTTAAAGACATGATAATGTAGGTAGCCAGGAATGTTATTATACGAGATGGAATCCATTCCTTCTTGAGAAATAAGTAGGTAAATAATTCTCTTAAGGGTTGATTCGGTACTTGGACCAATAGGAGCTCCGATTCATGAATTTGTTTTATGAATCATTGTTCATTAGAGAATCAATGGCACTCAAGGATAAATATGTAATTAGAGAGGTTAACGGATTTCACCTAGCTCAAATTATGAATTATTTATGGATGATTGATTTATATGCAATGACTATATCAAATGGGCACTTCATAGTTTAGAAGTAATTTATATCTATAGTTACGAGAGTGCAATTCTAAGTTTATAGTAAAATAACTATTAGAATTAATTAATTAATTAAAGTATTTAATTAATTATTAATATTATTGGAGCTCGAAATTATAGGTTCATGAGTCATCGCGTCGTCCTTATAATTCTACAAGATACTAAAGGCAAAATGATAATTTTAAAATTATGGAATTTTAAAATAAAATTCTCAAGGATATTTGATTGAGAATTAATTATAAATTAAATAATGTGATTATTTAAGTTTAAGTTTGATTTTTGAAACACACATGTGAAGGTGTTCACATAGTGTGAACGCACATCATAGTGTGAATCCTTTTGGGATTCAAATTCCATGCTCATCATAGTTATCCAATTAACTTATTTGATAAGTTGTTCAATTTGAAATTCAAATTGATTTAAGTTTTACTTAAATTTGAATTTGAGTCAAAATTGGACTGTTGGATAAAAGTAGAATCTTACTCTAATCCCCTACAGATATGTGCCTACCATAGGGATGGGATATCCCTGTGGTGGCCGGCCCTATTAGATAAGGGAGAGAGAATTTTGTTTTAAAATCAAATTTGAAGTAGGAGATAATTAACAAGCTTTATCTTGAAGATAAACATAGATTGTTACTCTATAAATAAGAGATTGTAGAAAATTGTGAGACACAATTTTTTACTTTACTAAGTGTTAGTGGCCGAATTTATTATAGAGTGTGAGGGAAAAATTTTCTTAAAAAAACAAAATCCACGTCGTGCATGTGTTGGTGTTCGTGAAAATCTTGAGTGTTCTTGCTAATCCTATTTTGTTTTAGGTGTGCCCACAAACACGATTTTGTGGATTCAAAGAATTGACGAGGAAGATTCAGGTTTTCTAAACTAGCATTGGAGCAAAGAACGTTCGAGATAAAAGAACACAAGTTATCATCATGATCGATTGCTAGGTATATTTCTTAATCCGGTCCTTAGTAAATAAATTAATGTGATCAATTTATTTATGTATAAATTAATATAATTTATAGAGTATCTCAAAAGTTTTATGAAATTTTTTGTTATACACGATTCGCTACTCACACGCTTCCGCATCCGAAATCGTTTCGGAAACCAACACGTTTGAGATAGCTTGTGCTTGTGTTTTTGAGTAGTAGAAGAAGACAAACATAAGTTGAGGCTTTTTAATTAGTGTTTGGATAGTTCTTAAAAAAACGCTTTTATATCTAAGAAGAGCTTTTTAACCTGTTTAAGTAAAAATGTCAAAATCACTTATTGTTATAAAAAGTAATGTAATAAAAAGATATGAATCATATATTTAATTTGGTGTTCACAAATAAAAGGTTAAAAATGTAAATATAAAAGCTTTTTATAAATATTTTTTCTTTAAGCATTAAAGAGATGACTTCTTTCAAAAGTGCTTAAAAAAGTCATAACACTTTAAAATTTTTTATCTAAATAGATTTAAAAACTGCTTTTGAACTAAATAAGCCAAAAATAGTTTTTTTTTAAACCAATCTAAACGGCCCAAAAAAAGCCATTAACTTAACTTTGATTATACGAGTAATACAATAAATCCCAAATGGGGGCACAAGGATATAAACGTTACTGCCATAAATAACATCAAAATATGAGAAAATACGGGGAAAGTGACAGATTTCAACGAAGGATCGTACCTCTCTATTATATTATATTATATTTATTTCTTTTTTTTGGTAAATGATCTTACCTGTCTACGAGGTCATAAGTAAATACGTCTCTTATGGGAAAAAAATGCTCTATCCGTATAATATAATTTTAAACCATCAGATTAAATTTAATTGTTCTTTAAAATAGTATATTAAATAAAATATGAAGTATAATTTAACTATAATTTAATGATTAAAAATGGTGTTTTATGATCAATAGAGTATTTATTTTTATATTCTATCAAATAATTTTTCTAAAAAAAATACTTTAGAATTAATATTTTTTAGTTTTAAATGGTTATAATATCTCATTAAACTTTTGTTAAATTTGTACGTTTTATTTTCACATAATTATAAGTCAATTTTAATGTGACAAGAAGTTGAAAAATATATAGAATACTAGTGCAAGTAATATATGATGATATGTTGTTCTAATATAAGAGATTTTCTCTAATAGAACTAATTTTAACGGTTGAATTTAATTAAAATCACATTAGATTAAAAAAATATGCATGATATATAATTTTTGATACAAATCTAACAATTAGAAGTAGAGAATTACCGATGACTCATTTTTTTTTAATCTTATTAAAGAAACTCCCCTAATATAATGAATGTAAGATCCATAATTTTAGAGAAACTAATAATAAATATCTTTTGGGTCCTTTTACGGTAACTCATACTGATAATGTATATTTTTTACAATTGAATTTGATCAAAATTATATTAAAATAGAAAAAACATGTAAAATAGATAGTTTCAAAAACCTAGGTGAATAAGTAACTCAATTTTTCAAGCTAAAAGACCCCATATATCTTTTGAGCAATGTTACATGTTTTAAATGGTAATATAATATTTGAATCCTTTTCCATAAGAAAAACGGTAATATGCTATTCTGTTTTAACTCTTCCTTTAACGGAACAAAAAAAAAAAAAAAAAAAAATCTATTTTAACTCTTGATGTCAAAATAACCTGGTTTGTTTCTTAACGTAAATATTTAATGACTTAATAGAATTATCATAAATTTGATTAAAAGATTTACACGTAGTGTAACACCTAAAATGTTGTTTTTAATATGGACTTTTTTTGTGTTTATTTTTTAAAAAAATATTGGTGTTTTTTATTTTTTAACTGTCAATCTATATTAGAATTTATCTATTCTATAGATTTTTTTAATTTAGTGTAATTTTAATTAAATTTAACTATTAAAAAAATAAAAAAAATATCGGCGTTCTAAATTCTCAAAAGGAAAGAATAATAGAAAAACTCCCTTTTTACTATTACATTATAAATTACGTGTATATTTATGACTCTGAATATTCGATGTTACATGAATATTGAACCAATCCTCAAAAAAGGTTAGCTGATAGGCTTGAGAAAATTGATTATCATAATTCAAAATAGCCCATATTGTACAGCCAACATGTACGTCTCGTGTCTCCACGTCCCAGATCTCTTCAACTGAAAAACAAAGACCGTTTTTCCCTCCTCATCGTCCTGGTCTTCTCTTGAATTTTTTCTTTCCTTTTTAATTTCATCTCTTCTCACACTTCCGCCATTTTGCCTCCTAAACACTTCATCTATTTTTTTTTTAACTATAATTATTAATTATTATATTTTCTTGGTGTTCTTTCGTTTGGTTCATTTGAGCACTATTTTTCAATTGTTTATTATAGAAGCTTCAGAGTTTGGGAATGCTTCTGGGAAAGTGGTCGCTTCAACAATAGATTTCCTCACCATACGTGTACCTTAACTTTTTCAAGTTCTTGAGTGGGCATTGGTTTGTTTTTTTGTTTTTTTTTTCCGGACATTGAATGTGTTGATTCAGTTCAGATTGGTCTTAAAAGAGAGGATTATTAATTGTCCCTGAAGTTTCTGGTTTTTAAGGTTGTCCTTTCTTTTAATTTTTATTTTTAACTTGATGGGTTTCCTTATAGCTTAGAATCTTCATATGGGTAGAGTAAATTTCACACACCCTTGAAAGAAATTGCCTTCAATTCCTTCTTTTTCAAACGGTTTTTATTGGGACGCTGTATTAGGGAACTGGGTTGCAATCTTTTTTCACATAAATGTTTGGTTTTGAATGAAAAAGAGGGGAAAAAAAAGGCAAAAGCTTTTGTACTAAATTCAGGAACAGGATTTCGCTCCTTATCTCCTCTTTTGAGATATTTTGCTTGTCTACACATGTAATGTGACAAATTTTCAGGGCACTTAATCATGAACTTTTAGGTAAGGTGTCAAAGAGTTTCCTTAGCAGGTGTCAAAACTTTCCCTTTTTTTTTTTTTTTTTGAAGTTTCTGTTTTTGGGATTTAGGGCTTTAACAATTTTTTATTCTCATAGATCTGAGGGACAGAGTTGTAGAGGAAATCAATGTGGTAGCTGGGTTTCTGGTATTTAATTCAGAGATCACAGGGTTTTTCACAAGATATGGATTTCGGGTCAAGTTTAGAATTTTATAGTCTCTCAATGTGACTTGTGCTCAATCCAATCCGTACAGCATTAAAGAGAAGTTTGAGTTTCATTTGGAGTTAGAGAGAGAGAGAGAGAGAGAGAGAGAGAGAGACTTTTTTTTTCTTTGAGAAATGGGTCATTCAGCAGCAGTTTGGGATTATAAGGCTGCAACTGAGATTACAAAAGACTGGAATGGGATCGACCAAGTTGTGCTTCGGAGCCCACAAGGAGCTTCAGCAAGGGTAAGACATGACAAATCTCTTCTTGCCCATTTTTGGTTTGGTATTGAAGCAATGAATTGAGTATCTTATTTTTGAACCAAGAAAAGGGAGAGCTTTATATGGCTTGTTTAGTTAGTGGATAATAATATTAATGTGTTTGGAATTCATGATTTCTTTTTCTGATGAGATAGGTAAGCTTGCACGGAGGACAGGTCACTTCATGGAGGAGCGAGCATGGGGAAGAACTCCTATTCACTAGTAGTAAGGTATTAATTTTAACACAGTTTTTGGTTTAATAATTGAGAAGATATTTTTGTACTTGAATTCCTAAAAGCAATTGTTGCCTTTTTCAATTTACAAGGTGTAATTTAGCAAACCATTTTTTGATCTTGTTGAGAAAAGAATAAATTTTGCCCAAGTCAAACTTGGCAGAGTGATAAATCTTGTTTTCTTGAGTTTCCGGTGAGAACACTGGATAATCTACTTTGCTTGTTCGTTGTAATCAATATGGTTCTCAGACTATATTGGTTGAGTGGATAAAAGCTTTGTACTTGTACAAAATCTAACTCATGAGATAAATGCTTGCTTATTAAGTTATTAGTTAGAAGTCCACAGCTGAAAATTGGTAGAGTGGATATCGAAACTACAACGACTCGCTTAATTTCATCAATAAGCGGGTGCTGATTCTTCAGCTTGTGATTTTGTCAATTGTAGGCCATATTCAAGCCCCCAAAAGCGATACGAGGAGGAATACCCATCTGTTTCCCACAGGTATCATTATTTTTCCTCACATCTAGTTATATATGCTTTTTGACACACCATACTGATAGACTTTATATGTGTTATGCTTGGGAAGTTCGGAAACGGTGGATCATTAGAACAACATGGATTTGCAAGAAACAAGATTTGGGCAATCGATGATGATCCTCCACCTCTGCGTCCAAATGATTCTCATGGGAAATCTTTCGTTGATCTTATACTCAGACCATCTGAGGAGGACCTAAAATGCTGGCCCCATAGGTATGAGCATACGAGCCAATTCATTTGTTATCTTATAAGTAGAATCAACAACTTATGGTTTCTGAATGTAGCCTTAAGATATTCTTTGTTTCCTAAATTTTTTTTTCCCCTGAGATCTTGTAGTAGATTGCATTGAATCCTTGGCTATATTATTTACGTACTGTTAGTCTGCTAAAAGGATATTTTTCTTTTCCTTGCTAGTTTTGAGTTTCGTCTCAGGGTTTCTCTCGCAACAGATGGAGATCTAAACCTAATATCACGCATTAGGAATGTATATTGCAAACCATTCAGTTTCTCCTTTGCTTATCACACGTACTTCTCGGTTTCTGACATAAGGTATGGGAAATTGTTTGCTGGTTGTTGCAGGGACCCTTTTTCCCCACCTCCTAAATGTGATGTTTCCTACTTTTAGGGACTAGTTACGACTATGATTTTATTTTAGGCTCTGCTGGCCCATTAGCATGCAGGTACGGCACACATTAGTACAATGTATGTTTGCCCGTACAAGAGGAGTGTGAACGTGCAGCATGTGATGGGCCATCATCCATAAAATATGGACCAAATAATCGGAGATCTTTTCCCAGCTAGTTGTGAATTTTACATTCTCATTGTAACTTGTATTCGTTTACACATAACCACAGTGAAGTAAGGATAGAGGGGTTGGAGACGCTCGACTACTTAGACAATCTTTTTCAAAGAGAACGCTTTACCGAACAAGGAAACGCTGTAACATTTGAATCTGAGGTAAATTCTCTGGTGCCCTATCTGCAACTTGACATGACAGAAGTTCCAACCGAGTTACTCATTTCTGATAGAAGGCTTTGGCATCATGATACTTTTTTACTTTCCCCGACCAGGTGGACCGTGTTTATCTCAGCGCTCCTAATGGGATTGCAATCCTTGATCATGAAAAGAAGAGGACATTCGTGATACGAAAGGACGGACTACCCGATGTTGGTAAGCTTCAAGCCTCTAAAAATATTTACAGAACAAAAACATAATCGACTGTCGAGCTTGTGTAGCTAATTCTTCTCCTTTGTGATAAAAAAATAAAAGCTACACAAGAAAATGAAACTCACAAGTGTTGGTAAATAACAAAAAAAGAACTGTTTATTTATCTCCTAGTGATCCTACATGGTGCTCGGTTCTGATCCGATATCTCATTTTACCAATGTGGACAGTGGTTTGGAATCCATGGGAGAAGAAATCAAAATCCATGGGAGATTTTGGTGATGAGGAGTACAAACAGATGGTCTGTGTCGATGGAGCTGCAATCGTGAGACCAATCACGTTGAAGCCGGGGGAGGAATGGACGGGGAGAGTGCAGCTCAAGGTCGTGCCTTCAAGTTTTTGCAGTGACCATCTCGGTCTATAAGAGTTGGATGAAGGGCCTCAGTTTCCTTGTTTCATAAAGAGCTTTGGGGTTATTATGTTTTTAGGTAGGAGAGTTGTGATAGTTTAAGCCAGAATAGTTTTAATACGTTCAGGGGGAGAAATCCCTTGTGATAGAACAAGTCAAGCCTGAAATTTTTGAAGAATGGCATCCTAGTTTTTCTTTCCCTTTCTTTCGTTAATGTCTTTGTGAATGTTGGAAGCTAGATAAATGTGTACCACAAAAAAATTGATCAGATCACGTGTCTAATTTCTGGTTTCAAAATAGTGTGCAACAGATTATATGATACCAGCCCATTCAATGAACTCAAAACACTAAAAGCATGAAAAAAGAAAAATCAGATTCTTTAAAATGGTTGGTTAAAACTTAAAACATCAAAATTAACCAGCCATAACGGAAGCCCAACTGATTTATCAGAGCCAGGTTTCGATCCTGGGACCTGTGGGTTATGGGCCCACCACGCTTCCGCTGCGCCACTCTGATTGTTGTTGAACTTGAGTTCCTAAAGCAATTTATAGTATTTTAATGATCCCATTCGATATATTTTTGACGCTTTTCTTTAAAGGAATTTTGATGTTTCCTATAGTTGCTATAACAAAATCTTGTCCACTTTTATTCGTTTAATTTTCCTCGAATCATGGAAGGTTTGATTTTTTTTTTTGGGTAAAAAGTTCGAGTTTGAAAACTCAGTAGTATATAGGGGTGTAAATCGGCCGGGTAGGGTAGGGTTGAGCCGAAAAATTGAGCCTACCCGACCAGTGCGGGTTGAGAAAATTTTAGGCCGCGACACTCTTTTAAGTCTACAAACCCGCAACCTTTCGGGTGACCTCAGGTAGGGTCGAGTTACTCGGGTTGGTGATCTCAAGGACCACATGATCACCTTTTAGTCAATTAATCTGTGCTTGTTACAGAAGAAATCATTATCAAACAGAACATGTATTTCCTTCAAGATGGGGGTCTAAATGCAAGGTGAACAATTAAAACACTCACTTTGAAATCAAATACTTCCAATATAAATAATGTCATAATTCAATAACTATGGCATACAAGCATTTTTTACACAAACCGTGAATCTAAAACATAAATAAGTTAACAGTTTAAATGCATAAAGTCCATAAACTTATGAAAGTAAGAATTTGAAGTGTTGGACATTGTTTTACCTACTTTGAACATGTTCGAGCGGGTAGGGTTACATCGGGTTCATAGAACCCCACCCCGCGCCCCTACCCACGCAGTGCGGGTTAGGCATAATTAAAACTGAAAATTAAATAAAAAATTAGAAACCCGTGATTTTTTAGTAGAGTCGGCTCGGCTCGACCGGGTTCGTCGAGTTCGGGGTGATTTTTTACAGCCCTAATAGTATACGTTTTAGTTCTAGTTCTCATTTTCAGTACCTTAAATACAAAAATAAACCAAGTAAAAATAATTTTTTTAGAGATGTAAATATAAGAAATTTGGCTTAATGGGCACAGGTATTCTCCTTTTAATAATCAAAGACGGGAGATTCAACTTGTGCGTGTGTTTTTTTGGAATATTTAACTGTCTAAATATGACGTGAAGAAACAAATTACCACCATATATGATAAATTAACAGAATGCATAAAGTTTTGACAAAGGAATCATATTCCCAGAAAAGTGATGGAGAGTAATATGATTCCTAAGAATAATACATTATTGTGTTTGGTTCCATACAGAAATCTTTTTCAAATTCTTAAAAATATTACATTACTGTGTTTAGTTGTGCATGAAAATGTTGTGAATTAAAAAATATTTTTTTAAATGAATAATAATAATAATAATAATAATAATAATAATAATAATATTAATTATTATTATTATTATATTAATTATTATTATTATTATTACTATTATTATTACTATTATTATTATTATTATTATGAGATTCCCATGATTTTGAGATTCCTGAAAATTTGAATAACACCTTATTGGGTGGGATCAGGATTACCGCAAAATGGGGTAATGTGAAACCTATGGGCTTCACTTTGTTTTAAAAAAGTCTAATAATTGTACCAAACATGGGAATCTGAAAGATTTTCATTCCCACCTCTATGATTACCCCATACCAAATGCCCGCAAGGGGTTTTCCCCCCTCTTTGGCTGGGTATCTACCCATTACCTTAGTTGATTTAAACTAAAAACAATAATCGATTAAAAAAAAAAAAACAACAACGGCGGAGTTATGGACTGAGGAATTGGGTATAACAGCAATCAGGGCAAAGCTGAAGTCTGAACCATCTGAAATTCAATAGAAAAATACCCGAGTATTAGGTAATTTAAAACTTGTACTTAGATAATGTAATATATATATATAATTTCAGTTCCTTACCTTGCATAAGACTTTATCCCCCTCGCCGATATTCCAATTGCTTTGTGTTCTCCAACAATATCTGCCAAACAAAAGACAATCATAAAACTCCGCCGAAACACGAAAATTATAAAAGTGCATAACTTTTAGTGCATATTCACATCCATGGATTGCAATACTAATCTCCTTCATCAAGTTACTCACTTCTCTTAGTTCTGTTGCTATTGCCTTGCACCCTTCTGTTGCTAGTTGCATGACATTTTCGAAAATATCCAGCGGTAACTTCGCATCCATCTGCATGGAAGGAATTCAACAAGTGATTCACAGAGAAACCCTGCATGAATTGTTGTGTAGGCAAGTACGGTTTTCTAAAACGAGGCAAAATCATGATATGAAACTAACGATGGAATGGATAAATAAACTTGCAGATTAAAAATTACAAAAGTTAAATTTATATAGAAAGCACAAGACATCAATAGTTGACAGCAAGAAGGGAAAAGGGGAGAGATTTTCACTTCATTAAAAGGCTCCACCAAATTTTTGCTGCCAGAGTTGGAATGTTTTACATTCATGAAAGAACGACATTATGAACATAAGATGAACAATTTTAAACAAGTTGCCTGCTTCAGATTGTTGAAAGCAACGATAAAGAAGCTGAAAAATACATACCTGAAGAAGAGTCACTTTGTCCAACTTCGGAAAAATCCCAACTGTGACATCAGCGCCTCCAGCACTATCTTCTACATAATTCAAATCTGTCGAACAGCAAAACTTTTAGGAAGCTCATAAAAACATACAATATCTTCTGAGAATTCATTATAGAATCACCAAGAAGGAAAAAAGAGGTTTGTTTCCTGTAAGAATATGCTCGAACCGAAAATTAAAAGAAACACGTGTAAAACTTACCGAGCAAAGGAGTACTGTTAAGGTATCCAGCACTACAAGAAGTAACAAGATCGCGCATTGGGATCCCAGCGTCTGCAAGGGCCAAACTTGCAGCATTTATGCATGCAGATCGAGTTCCTGCATAATCGAAAACACTTCAAAATTCAAGCACAAATCTTTCAAATATCAAAGAAACATAGTAAGGCCGCCCATTCATCCCGAACTTGGACAAAAAAGATTCTAAATTCTAATTACCTCCATCTGCTTGCAGAACTTGGACAAAAATATCTATCTAGAAACAATCAAAAACACAAAATGCTTCAGACAAAAACAAAGTTTGCAATCATCTAGGTTTCAAAAGAAAGGGGGGGTTTAATGAGATTGGCGCAAAAATGGAACCTGGGAACGAGGCATTAAATGTGTCATGATACAAGCTTCCATGGTTTGCCTAAGTACTAGAGATATCTCCGTTGATCGCCTACTTTCAATGACATTCAACATCCATAACCGAAACACAACCCAAAAAAATAAGAAAAATAGAACTCTTAGCCATTTTCTTGTCACACATTGTTATATACAAAGAGAGAAAGAGGTTCAAAACCTGTCACCCTTTGGTCTTCTCATGCGATCTCCGGTACTGAAATTAGCCATGCTGTATTCAAAACGCACCTGAAAAATGAAATTCCACAAAACAACAAGATCAAATTAATAAACAAAACTTATACATAACAAAAAAATTTGAGTTTTGAGAGGTCAAAGAGTATTTGCCAGCGCTTGGTCACTGATTTGTTGGCTCCTATTTTGGATCTGAGAATAAAAAAAAAAAAGCAATGAAATCATAACACTATCGAACTCAATTTAATGATAATAACAAAAGAATTTTATTTGGAGTACCTCTCTGGGGCCATAAACAGCAGCGATTACTTTGGTGTTTCCCATCTCAAACACAGCGGAACTGAAATGGAGCAAATTTTTTTTATATAAAATTAAAAATTAAATCTAAGATAAAATTAAGAGCAAAAAGACTGGTTCTTTACCCGTCTGCTTTGGCGACGGCGCCGAGCTCTGCTCGAATCTGTCTCAACTGATTGCGAAAGAAAAATATGTCATTTTAGGAGTAAGAAACCAAGAATGACAATTGCCAATATTTAGAGAGAGAGAGAGAGAGAGAGAGAGAGAGATGTACTTCAGTGGGCCGGCGGCCGTCAAGGCGGAGACCTTCGGGGTTGACGAATTCCATCGCTTGAGAGGCCTTTGCGAGGTTTTGGAGTGGAGGAGCTAAGTATAGTAATGGAAGCAAAACGACACCGTTTAAGGAGAATTTGAAGAGTGGCAAGACTTTTTTGGTTTCCTTGAGAGAAGCCGCAATGGCGGAAAGAAAGGTCCCGTTAGTCTCCGCTTCTTCGGGAGAACCGGCCTACACAAAACGCCGTTTCTTTGCATCTTTCAATGCACGATTTTATTTTATTTATTTTATGTTTTTAGTTTATTGTACTCGTATGCCTTGTTCCTTAAAACTTCTTACTCCATGGGTTAAAATCGACGAATGAGTTATGAAATTTTCTTATAAATAATCACGTCTCAATCGTAAGAACGAAAGTTGTTGTTTCAACTTTTTATGTTTTCATTATGTAATAATAATAAAAATTGTTGCCTCACTCTTATAGCGACGTTAAATTTAATCCGTTAGATTTGATTTTATGTAGTTTTGTAATGGTCAATACGTTCAAATCAGTAATTTTAATTTATTGACAGATACTTTGTGTGAGAATCATAGTATGAAATTTTTGAATTTAAATTCTTTGTAAAAAAAAATATTATAACATAATTAAAATTATGAGTTTAAATACATTTACTAAACAAACTCAAAGTAATTTTATTGCTCCGAGTCTTTTGATTTTGTCATTTTGATCGACTTTTTTACCCATAAATTATAGCAATTTTTTCAAACAAGTTTTTGTCAAGCTCAATTAGTAATGTGCTAAAAAGATCTTTTTTTATTAGAGCTTGACACTTGTGTTTGCGATCTGCACTTAATTCATCTTTATTGGTTGATTTAATTTTAATCATAGTCTAATACCTTTATCTTTAATGGTCTTTGTAACTATATCATTTTCTCTATCGACTTGAATACCGAACTAGTTTTTACCATTAATATATATCTTATCTTATTATAAATAAAATTAGATGAATGATGTTGTAAGGTAAAACGTCGAACTCTAAAATAAGCACTGAGTGGGGCTCACAGGCCATAAAGAAGAACAATAAATGATAAAAGACAGGTCAGCCCTAAAAGCCACGCCAACAAACAATTCTCTTAAAAGTCGATTGTTACAAAGAAGCGTCAGAAATAAGTAAGAGGTCGGTTTTGAGAAGCAAAAAGGATGGATGTAAGGCTGACCGTACTCACAGACATAAGTAAAAAAGCTAAAGGAAACATCTATGCAGTCGAGGCTACGCAAAGATAAAGATATGAAGGATTTCCTCTGAGATTTACTATTTGTAATCTAAAACTATGAAATTCAAATATGGAAACGCTCTGATTGATTGTAATCTCTATTTTTTGATAAACTATCTTAGAAGATAAGGGGAATATCTCAAATTTTAATAATGAAACAACTAGGGGCAGTGACTTCGGGTATAAACAAGGGATTATAGATTGAAAAATCTCTAAGTCTCATATTGAGCATTAGTGCGTGTATTTTCTCAAAAGTAGTGGATTTTCTCTAATCCTCACAGTGGTCGTAACTCTCAAATCGAGGGTGAACCACTATAAATTTTGTGTGTTCTTGCTTTAATTTCACTTTTAATTATATTTTAGATCCTTTACTTCATACTCACTGTTAAGAAATTCGTTATTATTATGTTGATGAATTTTCACCATCAATAAATAATATGGTAATTCAAAGAGAAGAAACGACAAAAATTGAATGGGCGACTAAAAAATTAATTTACGACAACAGAAGGTAGTAGTTTTGAAAAAAAAAAAAAAAGAATAAGAAATGGAAAAACTACCGTAAACAAAAAAGGAAAAACAATAATCAAGTTAAAATGTGTAGAACGAGAGGCGCTAAAAACGACAACAAAATGAGAACACGAGGAAAACTAGAAAGTGTTTATTGATTTGAACTTTGAAGTATGCTCCAATTATGATCCTTAAATTTTAAAAGGTTGCAAATTATTAATAAAACATACTACTTATTTTATATTTGGCCCTTTTGTCATAAAATAGACGGAATCAACCATATGATGTTCACATGCTTAGTTAATGGAGAGTATTTCAAAGAAATCAACACCTGAATAAATTAAAAATTTACAAAAAAAAAAAAAAATAGAAAAAAGAAAAAAAAGAGAAAAAAAATTACGGTCACTCTTTACATAAACTAAAAATTAATGATACAGCTCATCCATTACGCGATATTCTTCCTTCTTATCATTTGTTTTAATCTAAAAAAGTAATGATAACAAAATCTTCTCACGTAGCTTGATTTAAACACGCTCTCATTAGCATAACAAATATAACCAAAGCCAAAGACATGAACATTCTAAACATTTGAAACAAATATAATCATCCTAGTCCGTTCAATTTTGGTCCTCAGATAGTAAAAGAGTAATAATTAGTAAATGAGTAATGTTAGTAACACTAACTCCGATTTAACTCTTATAGTACTAACTAATATAGTAAATGAGTTATGATTTTTATATTAATAAATGTTTAAAACATCATCACGTCAGTTAATAATAAGAAATTAAATTTATTAATAAAAATATGATAATTATATTAAAAGAATATTAATTCGGTCGGTTGGGATAAATTCTCTCAGTGTTTAATCAATCACTGTGGTTGACAATACATCTCAATTAGTAATAGAGAAAAAAGTTTAGGCCAGCACGCAAATTAACTAGGCACCCTACTTGACAGCAAAAGCACGAAAATGACATCCCCTTTATACATAAACAAGTGGTGCAACGTCCCATTTCCAACCTATAAGTCTATAAGGAGGCCATGCTCCATTTCGTCTTCACAAATAAAGTTATATCCTCAATCATGGTGAGCTTGGCTGTATATGTGACATTCTCATTCTAACTTCACTCATCAACCATTAAATTGAAAGAAAAGAAAGAAAGAATTCTATGTCTAGATAAGGGGGGAAAAAAAAACTCATATATAACTATCATGTAAAGTTGTAATCATAAGTAACTACTCGTATTTCATGGACTATGTATAATATGTTCATAAAAATACACGTGTATTATATTTATATAGTAAAGCTAATTTCATATATATTTAATTACTTGGCTAAACTTATAATCAAATGAGAAGGTGATCATGAATGTTACTATAGTGAACTTTCACATAATGAGTAGTGATCCTTGTGATTTCGAATTTTCGGCCAATACGTAAGTTTTTTAGCCTTTTCCTATATGCCTCATTCAAGGCAAACGATTTAATTTAATTTTTTTATTATTTTTTTTTAAGAAAAGGCATCCATATATATATATTAGAAGCGATGGTAATTTATTGCTTTTGGTGGGTGGTGGATTTAATTTTCATTATCGACTTATACTGAGGCCAATTCGCAAAATAATCCATGCAAATCATTTACTCTCTCGAAGCTATATACAATTCATGCATTTATATGAAGTATGAACGTCTCACCCACCATTGCTATAAAAGTACCACTTACCAAAATCAATATAGCAATTACTTAACCAAAGTCATCTATTATCTAATAAGTCTCAAATTGATCCCCCAAAAGTCTCGAAAACTTTAAACCCATTAACCTTACATGTCGGGACTAAATAACCCATGCCACTAAGACCAAAATACCCTTAGTGGAGACACGAAACGGAAGTGTTTTCCTCAGACCCATCAATCTAGATCATGTGGATTCAACCATCCACCAAAATTTAAATAAAAAATATTTTGTCATCCTTAAAAAATGTTTTAACAATTAACAAAATAAATAATATAATAATTAAACAAAAAATTATCATATATTCTTTTAATTCTCATCCCTCCTAACAAACGACATAAAATTACCATCTTTCTTACTTATTTCTCCAATCAGACTGAGCCTTAAAGGGTGTCAGAAGATCGAATGCTTGTGTAACTTTTTTTTTTCCTGAGGAAATGCTTGTTCGACTAAAAAAAACCCACGAGGGAAGAAGTTGGCGGGGCTATAATAGTCAATTGGCTTGGTAAGATAGTGCACCACTTTCTAGTGGTTGTCGTCGGTGGGGGAGAAGACAAATGTATCGGATAACGGCAGAGACGCTAGAAGCAGTAAGCCCACGTGGACGAACATGCAGCATTCACGAGGACACCTGTACTTAGCGTGGAATAATGCCAAATATATTGTGTTTTTATTTCTTTTTCTTTTATTCACAAAATAAAAATGAGCTATTTTTTTAATTATAAATGACCAATGTGTTGTCTTTTTTGTTTTTCAGTCTCGTATAAATTTTTTTGTTGTTGATAATTTCAGTCTAGTATAATTAGGACGTACATAGATCAGCCAATGTTAAGCGATGTTTGTGTTTTCTTTTGTATTCCTTTAAATACTTTTTTCTGAAAGGATATTCCATTAAATATATATTGTCAAATAAAGATGTCTAACAATCCAAGACTTTATTCCATTGATTTCACGTAAAGAACAAAATACTGAAATGGTCCGTTTAATTCGTTGATTCGAATTTTTAATTTGAATTGAGATGTGATTTTATATGAAAATTTTTTATTATAGTAAAAAAGTTAGATGTGACTGTTTATGAGAATTTTTTACTGTAATAAAACTCTAATCAGCGAAATAAACATAACCAAATTCAACCGAGAACAAAAAAGGAAAATTAAGAAAATAATATTAGTCAAATACTAACTGTAAGTAAAACAAAAATGATCGTATTTCTTAAAATATTTTCATACTTTATCTATTAAAATTATTGAGAAATAGTATATCATGTCAAAAGTATACTACCCGATTATATATATATATATTAAAAAAATAGCACTTGTCTATATCTTATAAATAATAATAAAGATTACAAGTATTGATCGGAAAGATACATATATTTTTCTATTTAATGCAATTTAATAATGGAAAAAGATACTTTCCGAAAAATCTTTGCATGTTTTTTTTTAAAGTATGGTAAAAAAGTTAAAAAGATACTTTGTCATATATTTTTTTATAACATTTAGTAGTTTTTATTTTTTTAGAATTAGTAGTTGTTAATCTCTATAATGTTCGTTTAAGAAGAATTAATCCTCATTTATTTCACCGATTTGAATTTAAAATTTAAATTTTACTACAATTAAAAATTTTAAAAAATAATAACATTTAATATTTTTTATCACAATAAAAAAATTTCATATCAAATTATATTTTAATTCGAACTAAACCAGTTCTTACTGGCTCAATTATTTCAAACTTGAGACAGACAGACAGAAGGAAATCTACCGAAGCAAAATTTAAAAGATAAATTTCATTTCATTTTTTTTTTCTTTTAATGAAAGGACACAACACATTATTATATGGTAAAGGCAATACGTGTCAAAAATCTTCCTGCCACGTCAGCAGCCAAAACCCCCGCGCGTGAATCTCGCGCTTCAATCCCTGCCACCGGTCTCCTCTCTCGCCATTTCCTTCCCTTCCATAAGAGACAACTCCACCACCCACTTCTCTCTCTCTCTATCTCTCTCTCTCTCTCTTAATAAAACCAATGATCTCGTCCTCCTGATCGATTTTCCCCATTTTCATTTCCGCTCTTTTCCATTCCATTCCTTTCCTTTCCCTTCTCCGACCACGGAATCAGTTTCCTTCTTCTCCGATCAAACTCTCTCAAATTCAGATCTTTCTGTAATGCCGTTTCTCTAGAGATTTCCTCATCAGGTTCTTTTATCCTTATTAATTACATGCATTATTAATTTAATCATATTTCTTGAATATTTGCCAAATTTCGGTTTAATCAACGGAGCAATCGCCGACGATAACTCCCGAGAAATGGCCGAGCAACCGCTAAAACCGCCGCCTCTCCAGAAACCGCCGGGTTACCGAGACCCGGCGGCGCCGGGAAAGCCAGTGGCCCGACCGCCGCAGAGGAAGCCGGTCCTGCCGGCGTCGTTCCACCCCCGGAAGCGACGACGGAACTGGTGCCGCACCTGCTGCTGCTTCGTTTTCGTCTTCCTCCTCCTCCTAACCCTCGCCGTCGCCATCGCCGGCGGGATTTTCTACCTCTGGTTCGAGCCGAAGCTCCCCGTCTTCCACCTCCAGTCGCTCCGGATCCCGCAATTCAACGTCACCGTCAAGCCCGACGGGACCTACCTCGACGCCGGCACCGTCACCCGCATCGAGGTCAAGAATCCAAACGGGAAATTGGAGCTCTATTACGGTGGGACCCACGTAGAGGTATCGGTTGGGGAGGATGAGGATGCGGAGCTTGGGAGGAAGGATTTGGAAGGGTTCACGCAGGGGAAGGAGAATACGACGAGCTTGAAGGTCGAAACGACGGTGAAGAACCAGTTGGTGGACGATGGGTTAGGGAAGAGACTGAAGAGTGGGTACAAGAGTAAGGATTTGGTGGTGAAAATTGAGGCCAAGACTAGCGTGGGGTATATTGTACAAGGTGTGAAGATAGGGACTGTGGAAGTGGGTGTTTTGTGTGGTGGTGTCAGCTTGAAGAAGCTTGATAGTGGTGACATGCCCAAGTGCTCCATTGATTTGCTCAAATGGTATTTACATTTAACGTTAAGACTAATTAACTTGGCTTTTGGTTTGATTAATGTTGGTATTACTTTATGTTTTTGTGGTATTAGGGTGATTTTTAATTCATTCTCGTTTTTAGATTTGACAGGTGGTATCCAAAATTTGATAAACAAGTTCGATATTTCGTCTAGCATTAGTGATGTCGATAATGTGTAAGTGTTAAGTGTTCTAATTAGGATATTCGTACGTGATTACATGATTGTCTTAACATTAACATTAATTAACTTGCTTTTGGTTTGATTAATGTTGGTATTAGTATGTGTTTTCGTGGGGTTGGGGTGATTTATTCGTATTCGTTTTGATTTGTGATTTGTTGCGCAATGGTGTCCAAAATTTGATAAACAAGCTCAATATTTGGTCTAGCATTAGTGATGTCGATAATGCGAAAGTGTTCTCAGTGTTCTAATTAGGATATTCACGCGTGATTACATGATTGTTTTGTTCTATTGTTTTATAATTGATGCTTTAGATGTAAGTTTAATAATCCTATTATTGATGAGATGATATGATATGTGGCGAGATTGGTTTGGGAGTAGCATGTTGAAAGTGGGAAATATGCTTCAATTTAGATCTGAAATTTTTGTCTTAGCATATACGGAAACGTGCTTTGACTGGGTCCCTTTCCGTCTTGTAACGTATTAAAAATTGATTGATTTAATCGTGTATTATTGGAGGGGGTGGTATAAGTCAAAAAGAGTATTGATTAATTTAAAACTTTGATTTCTGATTTTGATAGTTGCTTTGACTGCAGGATCAAGATACACTGATAAAGTCCTTGCACATGAAGGGTGTTAATAGAAGAGAAATATATCATTTTGGGGCTGCAATTTTCGGCCGACATTTGTACGTAAACAAACACTGGCTTGTTCCTAATTTAATATTTTTATATGTATTATATAATAAACCTATACGTCATACGACATATTCTTCGCTTGGGAAAAAGATAAGAGAAAGGAGGGGGCATCATTTACATTTATAGTAGTCTAACGTGTATCCATGTTTAAGCTTTGGGGGTTTTTTTTTTCTATTTATTTATTATTTTTTGTTCTTTGTAGTGGAAATATCAGTTTAAAAGTGGGATTGGATTGGTTTATTATGAATTTATTCTTTTGGTGGTTGAATTAGTAAATTATTCTCAATTTTTTTTTAGTGTAAATTAAAGATTCTTATTGTTGATGTGGGGTTTTCGACGGGGCTCTAATTTGATTCTGAGAGCTTGCCATTTCTTTAAACAAATATGAAAAAGAAATATACCTATCATAGATGACAAAGAAATTAGATGGAGCGTCTTATTATTGTTATTGTCCTTGTAACTATATTAAACTTTGTAAAATAAGGTGCAACATATTATTCCTTATGTTGAATTGAAGTGGGGTGACTACGAAGAGTGTCTGCCTCGTAAAGGAAACGATAGGGTGGATATTGATGTATGCTTTGTATACTCCATAACAACAGAGGAATCTTCTGAAGTTATCCGTTCCACTATGACAAGTCTTTTATTTAAATAGGAAATTCTATGGTAGTGTATGAAAATACCTTATTGGTAGGTCACACTGTGTTGAATTCATGTATTTTTGTGGCTGAGTTTGATGAAATTGTCATTTTTTTTAATATGATATAAATATAATGTAATTTGAATGAGAATTGTGTCTTATCAGTGGTGATTCTCCCACAAAATTAACAAGAAAAATGATAGCGTCACTCGTTTTATAATAAAATTAGTGGATTTAACGTGTTAAATAGTGGATTTAACGTGTTAAATAGTGTAGGTAGAAAGTAACAAAAGATTAGTGGATTTAACGTGTTAAATAGTGTAGGTAGAAAGAAACAAAAGAGTGATAGACCTTAATGACACCAGTATTTCTCAGATTAACAAATAAAGTGTCGCTTGAGTCATAGATAGAAGAAGAGGAAGACCGGGCCTCCATGTCCATGCTATATGACACACATGCAATACATAGTGATGAAAAATAATGAACTCGGGCCATGCATGCTGTCTTTGATGTGATAGCCACGGTACTATCATAATGGAATTTCTATTTTTGTCTCAAGGGCAAATTGGGATTCAAATATTATTGTATCTTCAACGAATTTCAATTTTTTTTGTTACGAGGGCATAGTGGAATTGCAATAGTAATCTATACTTTAACCTTAAAAAAACCACGTGCAAGCACTTTTTTTGTAGCGAATGATCTTGAATTCTTGATCGCTCTCTCGGTCTGGAAGATCCCAGATTCGCATGCTCGTGTTGTAAGCTCATAACTAGAAGTACCCAAAAGAATTGCAGACACTTTTTCTGTTTATGTGTCTTGGAATAATTTCTTAACGAAGAAATGCTTTTGCTTGATGGTTTTGCCGTTTTTGGCTTAATGCTTAATGACAAGTAAGCACATGTGGTGTTAATGGGAAAAGGAAACAAATACTCTTTTAAATTTTAAATTTAAAGGGCATAAGTATAGATGTTTATCTCTTATTCTTGATTAATATCCTTTTTAGTCAAAGAATTATATTAATCAAATGGTATTAATTAAGAATAAATCGTAAAAATTCATAACTATGCATTTTAAGAGTAAGTTCATCAATTTCTAAAGATACTTAGAGCCTGTTTGGATTGCCAAGAAAAAAACTATTTTTTTTTTTTTGCTTATTTAGGGCCTATTTAGGAGAGCTTTTTAAAAGCTGTGTTTGGCTTTCTAGGTACAAAAGCTGTTTCTAAAAGTATTTGGATGATTTGTCAGAAGTGTTTTGACTTTTCAGAAGAGTTTTTAGTCAAAGTCAGAAATTATGGCTTCTAAAAATAGCACTTCTGAACAGACTTTAAAACTTATATTAGAGTTTAATTAAGGTATTATAAATTTAATTCCAATACTTTTATTGCTTATTAGAAAATTTAAAAATTATTTTGACCTATTAAGCTTTTTGTTCTAAACACTTACTGAAAAATCATAACTTTTCTTCTCTTCTTTTACTACTAAAAATAAAAACAAAAACTCTGTCAACCGGACCTCAAAAGTTATTTTGAACATGTTTGGACTTTAAATGGATATCAAAGTGCTTTGAGCTTTTATAACCTCTTTTGGAATAAGTTACTTTTGCCTCGTTCACTTCGCGGATTCAAATTTTCAATTCGAGCTGAGATGTGACATTTTCTGAGAGCTTTTTACTGTAGCAGAAAAAGTTAGATGTGACATTTTCTGAGAGTTTTTTACTGTAGAAACCTAAAACTGAAAACTCAAATCGGTGAAATGAACGATGCCTTTATTGACACTTACGGAAAAAAAACTTATAAATTTTTTTTACACTTTCAATCTTTTATTTGTGAACAACAAATCAAAATATTCCATCTATATATTCTTGTATTACGTTATTTTTGTCAAAATTATATTGAATAGCATATTTTAATACCCAAGGAAAGTATTGACATTATTTACTTAACATGTTAATACACAACATATTCAAAAATTTTGCATCGTTTTGAGCAATTATTTTCCAATTTTATTCCTTCCCGTTCCCTTTCTTATTTTGTTTTTTTCCATTTCTCTCTCCTCCATCACGCTGATCTCTATGTCCTCTCTTTCCTCCACCCTTCTCTCTGCTCAATCTCTTCATGCGCCGTTTTTCCCTCCTTTGGTGATTTGAATGGTGATATAAATCAATATTTAAATACATAAATAAATTATAATTTAAATTGAGAATAAAATTTAAATTATATTAAGGTCCTGCTCATTTCGTCGATTCGAGTTTAGAATTCGAGTTTTATTACAGTAAAAAGCTCTCAGAAACAGTCAAATTTAACTTTTTTGTTACAGTAAAAAGCTCTCACAAAACGTCACATCTCAATTCGAATTAAAAACTCGAATCAACGAACTAAACGAGATAAAGTGTTAAAAACTTTTATTAAAATTTTATAACAAATCTATAAAACCTCATTATAAATAACATTAAAAATATATGCAATATGGATGGAGATTTGTTCATCTTCTTATTATGAACACATTGAAAAAAATCATCTCAATCAGAATTGAAACGAATAAGTTATTACATTTTTAACCTTAAAACTGGTGAGAGATACAAACAAAAAAAAAAGTAAAATTCAAAATTATTTTGACCATAGAAAACAATTCGGATTGTGAATTTAAAGGGGAGGTCAATTCTAAAATTAATGGTTTAAATTATTGTTAATGGTTTAAATTGTTCTCATTTAGTTGTCTACCAAACATTAATTTGAACCTTCAACTACAGTCCCAATTGAATTTTTTCGTTCAGATTGTTAAAACAAACAACACATGAGTTTTTAACACCATTATGCTATAATTTTCTAATGCCCATATTAAAAATGCTATTTCTCCTCTTTCTCCCTAATTTTTTTTTTTTTTTTTGGAATAATAGATGCTTTTGACTTGTTTACTTTGACAGATTTAAAAATTATTCCAAAATAAAGAGCTTTTCATGCACTATTTAAACACTAATCTTATTGGCAGGGTAAAATCACATGGCCTAAGGTTAACCTTCTATTTATAATAAAAAGTTATTTTAACTTCAATAAAGATAAGAGATATATTTGTAAAAAGTTATTTTAACTTCAATAAAGATAAGAGATATATTTGTATGAAAAAATTTCAAGTTTAACTATTGTTTTTTCAACTCTATTATTTATGCCACTTCATAAAATTTTGATGTCATTATAAAAAATAACCTGCAAGTTATGAAAAGATAATCTACAGATTACAAAAAATAACCTACAAATTATAAAAAGAACTGACTAGTTATACGTGACATAAGATAAATTTACAACAGTAATACAAATAAAATAATGTTACTTTAATGATGTATTTTTAATTTTTTCTCTATTTGTATAATAGTAGTTTCTTTGGTAGGAAAAAAAACTATCAATAAATTAATATTTTTAACCGTTAAATTTATATTAAAAATTAATTACTATTTAAACTTTTTAAATTTAATTTAATTTTAACTAAATAACGATCAGAAACCAGCTCTAACGATGGAGATGCCTATCAGAGAAAATTCTTTTGAATAATCTACAAGGAATTCCCATTGGTCTCCCTCCATCGAATAAAAAAAACATGAAAAACTTTGAAAGAAAATTACACAATTGGCAACGCGAGGCGTGTAAGAAGCGAGCCTCAATCCTTTTACAAAATTTTTGTGATCAAGTGGTCAAATAGTATTATCTGCGTTTGAAAAGGTCGAGTGGGGCCTACGGAACCACCGATCAAAGGTGAATTTAGTAGCACCAAAATCCAACCAGCGCCGTTGCTCTTTGATAGAACAAAAGTCATCAAAATGAGCGGTCCACAATAAATCAAAGCCTCACTTAATCATAAAGGGATAGCGACTTTGAATGTGTCCCTTGGGTGCATATCACTCACAAATTCACATACAGGCATTCCTCTGGTCCTCTTTTTTGTACGCTTCGTCAAACTTTGTTCTTTCTCTCTCCTCTCTCTCTCTCTCTCCCCCTCTTCTCCGAAAGCTCTTTCCTTTAGATCCGTGACGATCTCTCACGCTCATCCATGGCTTCCAAGCGGATCTTGAAGGAGCTCAAGGATCTCCAGAAAGACCCTCCTACCTCTTGCAGCGCAGGTGAAATTTTTCTTCTCGATTTCTTCTTTTTTTTTTTTTTTAGCATTTTTGTTCGATTTTCATGGTTCAAATCCTTTCCGAGACTCGATCTGTGTGTTTTTCTTGTTCTGAGCTTCTAGGTCTTTGCATATCCACTAGATTTTGTTATTTGTAGATGATTATATCAAATCTGTTTTGTTGTTTTTTTTTTTTCTTCGTAGTATCAGAAATGAAGATTGTGTTTATGAGGATTCTTACCTTGTTTCGCTAATCTAGGTTCGTTTATATATCTATTTATTTTCTATGGATTATGTATGAAGATGTTTGTGAGCCTAAACGATAATTTTGCTATATGGGTTTCTGAGACACGTATAAGATTGTTATAGTAGGGTTGGTAAAAACTAAAATCTTATGAAGTTTTTATCTGAAAATGTTATGTTTGATTATTCAACAAAAGAAGGGGAAATGTATCTTTGATTGATATAATTGTTCTACTAATACTACTACTACGAGAGAAATGATTTTAGATACAATTGGCTTTGGTGACAGGCCCTGTAGCTGAAGACATGTTTCACTGGCAAGCCACGATAATGGGTCCCCCCGATAGTCCTTACGCCGGGGGAGTCTTTCTAGTTACCATTCATTTCCCTCCCGACTATCCATTTAAACCACCTAAGGTATGGGATCTCTATTTAAACCACTTGAAGTATGGGACCCGATATCAATGTTAATGTCCTTTTGAACGATTTGTAATGTTGCTTGGTTGATTCATTCATACTCTTTCTATCGATTCTTCGACTGTTTCTGTTTTGATCAGGCGTGGGACAAAATTGTTATTCTACATTTTTTGGTCAAATGTGAGTGTTTTAGGAAACTATGCTGTTAAGCTTCCTAGATTCAAGATTGAAGAAGGGTCATAGCTATGATCAATTTTTGGATTGTGGTTTCTGTTTATGTTGAGCATGTAGGATTTCATTGTTCAGTTACTTACTTACTTTTGTATGTGAGCTCAGCTTCCTAGCCAGATGTACTCTCGAGCTGTCATGTGTTATTGTTGAAGTTTCTCCTTTTTCTGATTGGTGATGAACTGATGAGTGCTGATAATCGGAAAAGAACTTTAATGCAGGTTTTTCTAATTTTTAGTGCATATTTGTTTTCAGGTTGCGTTCAGAACTAAGGTTTTTCACCCAAATATCAACAGCAACGGCAGTATCTGTCTTGACATTTTGAAAGAACAGTGGAGCCCTGCCTTGACAATTTCCAAGGTTCCTCATCTCTTAGTGACTTTTAAGATTTGAAACTTTACGAGCCTTAAATTTTCTAATCTAAGATGTGGACTTTAGAATCATGAGAATTGGATCTTCATCTTCATTACTCATTACAATGGGAATTTTCTTTGAAAACTGTATATATTTTCATTTTTCTAAGTGCCAATTAATATTCATTTGTATAAAATTTTGTCGAAACAAAACAATGGGTTAGAAATGCTTTGGTCTATGCATTGTTACTAAAAAATTAAGTTCCTTGGTTTGGTTCCTGGACGGTGCTATTATGTAATTGGTACTGGAATTGCTTATGAAACTGTTAATGACATAATTTTCATGCCTAAATCCATATGTTTGGCGTTCATAGTTTTTATACGTTGACTAGAACTTTCTACCGAAATGTTAAGAGTTTAGATCAGGTAACATAAGAACTGTATGTAATATAGTTTTTAGTCTTAAACATGTGCCTAGCTTCCAATCGAGGGTTTGAGCATTGGTTTGTTCATATGTACTCATGGTTTTGTTTGTAAGATTCATGCATGGCTACTCGGCACCATCCTTCACTCTTTCATCTCTGCTAGTTTTTAAGTGGATGGGAAGGGTTCTTGTTTCTATTTCAGGTGCTGCTTTCCATTTGTTCCCTGTTGACGGATCCAAACCCAGACGATCCGTTAGTGCCAGAGATTGCCCACATGTACAAGACAGATAGGGCCAAGTACGAGACAACCGCTAGGAGCTGGACCCAGAAGTATGCCATGGGCTAATGTGCTTTGTGGTGAGGGCATTTAGGACGTTGACTAATATTCCTTGTTATGTATAAAAGAAGTGTGTTCTGTACTTTCCAATCTTGTAATAGACAATTGAAGAATAGGTCTTATTGCTGCTCTCTTTAAATCAAGACCATATTTGTATTCTAAACTATGAACATCGATGGACGATGTTGTTTGATATACCGAGTGTTGTATTTGCCTCTCTCTCTCTCTCTCTCTCTCTCCCCTCCAGTTCTTCATGGTTTTCAAGCCTATATAAGCGTCAGTTGCACTCTAGGTTGAAGGAGGAAAGGTCTCAGCAGAATTTTGTGTTTATTCTCCTACAAGACATGCGTAAATGAGGTTGAATTGTAGGCGCCGTTTGGTAAATGAAGCCCTTATTGACGATGATCTTGTTATATAGTCAAAGGATACGTTTTACTTAAACCCTAGCCCAGAGTTTTCTGCCAATCACAAGAACCGCTTGGACGAACCTTGAAAACCTAGCCTACGGTAGGTTTTTTAATTGCCGTCGTCTATTGGTTAAATGAATATGGATGGTTAGGTTGTCAGTTTTGATGGTAAGGCTTGTTAAACCGAACCAACCGACTACTCTTATATACTAGGAAAAAAATTAAGACTTTTGTAAATTGTTGAGGTTCAAGCCTATATGCTATGGGGAACGCTAATTGAGGTTGAATTGTAGGCGCCGTTTGGTAAATGAAGCCCTTATTGACGACGATCTTGTTATATAGTCAAAGGATACGTTTTACTTAAACCCTAGCCCAGAGTTTTCTGTCAATCACAAGAACCGCTTGGACGAACCTTGAAAACCTAGCCGTCTATTGGTTAAATGAATATGGATGGTTAGGTTGTCAGTTCTGATGGTAAGGCTTGTTAAACCGAACCAACCGACTACTCTTATATACTAGGAAAAAAATTAAGACTTTTGTAAATTGTTGAGGTTCAAGCCTATATGCTAATGCACCGTCTCACCACTAAGTTATGTGCTCCTTGATGTTAATTGTAAGTTTGGAATATATTTAGAGCATGTTTGTTTTACAACTCAAGTTGAGAACTTGAGTTGTTGTTTATGTTAGAGAAAACACTATAACAAAAAAGTTAAATTTAAATTTTTATGAAAGAAAATACTGTAATAAAAAAGTTTGAGTTATGATTTGAGTTATGAAAAGAACATACCTTGTTAATGTTTTATGCTCTTCAAAAGTTGAAAAGCAGGTGCTTGAATTGAATAGTCCCATTAATTGTAAAATTTCACCGATTCGAGTTTTGCTACAGTAAAAAGCTCTCAGAATCAGTCATATCTAACTTTTTTACTATAATAAAAAGCTCCAACATAAAGTTACATCTCAACTCGAATTAAAAACTCGAATCAGCGAACTGAACGGGCCCTAAGAGTGTTCATTTGCACAACTCGAGTCATATTGCAATAGAATTTTCTCACATAAATTTAAATTTAATTTTTCTACTATAGTATTTTTCTCTCACATACACAACTCATATCATGATTGAGTTGTGGAAATGAACACACCTTAAAACTAGAATGCCGCTAAAGATTAGAGAAAAAAACTTTTGTATACGATGTGACCTTTTGCCACTAAACTGTAATAAGGAGAAATTCCAAAAACTACCACCTCACTTTTACGTAAATCCTATGTTTGTTCCTATGTTTTTGATAATTAAAAAAATATCAAATTGTTTGAAATGACATAAATATCTTAATGATCTATTTAAACATTATCTTAATTATTAATAACTAATAAACTAAAATTTAAAGAAAAAAGATAAAATTTTCAATGAAATAAATTTTATTTATTTTTTAAATCTTAGATTTAACAAGTCATACTGGTCTAACTCCACACAAGATCTTGTGCACTCACCATTGACACATGATTAGTGAATTTGAACTTATCTAATGGGTCCGGTCCTACAATTAATTATGCTCTGCTGTTATCTAAATAAGTTGGCTTTCTTTTTTTTCTTTATTATATTTAGTTTTGAAATTTATTTTTTAAAAAGTTTACGTGATTACTGGTTATATTTGAAATCTTAAAAACTTTCATTAATTAAAGGGTTATTTTTTTTACCCTTTTAAAAAACGTAAGGGATAATTTTGTGATAGTCTAAAAACATAAGAGATGTTTTTTCGGATTATATTATAAAAAAATCAAAGGTAAATGTAGAACTCAGATAAAACTTATGGTACTTTTTTGGATTTTCTCTTTTATTTTAGTTACAAAAATAAGTATTATGTTTTTACATGTGTTAAAACTTCAAGAAGTCAAACTTAAAGCAAAACTTAAAAAAGAAAAAAAAAAGAGAATGTTTTCTCTTAACTACTCTACATAAAGGCAGTGGGTTTTATTTTACCGTCACTTCTTAGTTTTTGGTGGTTATGACACCTATGCTGTTTCTTTTTTTTTTTTTTTTTATAGTAAAAATGTACCAATATCTTTTTCATGTTAATGTAAAACCTTTTTTATTTTTTCATTTTAAGGTTTTTTTTTTTTGTTTTGATTTTTATAATAAGTAGTCGGTTAACTTGTATGAAACCATTAGTAAAGTAATGCTCATCATATCGTGAGAAATTCACAATAAGTAGACCACTTAATAAAATGGTTACAAGCAAGAATATGGTTATTTACATGTATTTTGCTATTAGATATATTTGTTCCAAGTCAATTTACTGTCTCCGAAAATTTAACAAATAATTTACGGAGAAAATAAAAAGAAGAGAGACAAAATAAATTTTTTTATTATTATTTTTGTTTTTGTTGAAAGATATATTATATAATACCTTTTTTAGGATATCACAGCTTATGTTTAGGGCTCAGGATTTCGGCTTCGCTTTGAAAGTTTGGGAATTGATTTTCAAAGATGATGATGCGTCTATGTCTTGGCTTTTGGTGCACGATGTAGAAGTGGATTTTGTGGAGACTGGAGACTGGGTGGCACAGGTTACAAGTGATTGCTTTCCATCCGGAAAATGGCCATGTGATTTTCTTATTACATGGATTTGATATTTACCGATATGAGATTCGCTACAACAAATCTGAAAAAGTTTCCGAGTTTCTGCATGCATGACAGTCTCACCACACCAAGATAATGCTCTCCAGATATATATATGTTTATTCTCTTGTGTCTACACGATAACATGACTTAAAAATGACACAAATTTCATAAATTAGGGTTGAGAAAAAAGATATTCATGTCAGAATTGAGTCGACTTGAAATTGGCACGAAAAATACGGGTCAATTTCGAGTTGGACCCGCCTAACCCGAACACGACACGAAACTCGTGAAAACTAAAAAATATATATTTTTTATTACATATTTTAAATTTTATTATGAACTTGTGATGTCATGATAGTTATACTCAAAATCTTACTCTTATTTGCTTAATTTTGATGGATGTTATTGTATTTTAATGTGTTATGAATTTGAAGTTATTTCTAATATGTAAAAAACTAAAAAATATATATATAATTTTCGTGTCAATTTCGGATTCACGAGTCAATTTCATGTCATGGGTTATTTTCGTGTCGTGTCAATTCGTAAAGTGGTCGTGTTGTGTTTGTGTTGCGGTTTTTAAAAAATTTCGTATCACGGGTCTTGTTCGAATTGATTGTAAATTTAAAAAGAAACGATTAAAATATGACACGTGACATGAATTATTACCCTACTCTCGTGTGTCCTTATTTGGGTCCTACACTAATTTAGAGCATTCACCCATTTAAAGCGAGAGGATATCAGTTTGGAATGTTACTGCTCGTTGTTTTTCCAGGTTTTTCTATTACAAGAGATGATCTTTTATAGTTTTTAGTGACAATTGTAATGGTTTATAAATATTGTTGCTTTATTTATAATAAGGATTTGATCTCTCGTGGATTTGGAGGTTTCTTAACTCTAAATTTGGACTTGGTTTCTATACGTCCAAAGGACTAGATTATTTATAATTTATATTGATCTAAAAATAAAATGACATTTACTTGCTGTCGTCTCCACTCTCTTGTTGGAACCTACAAGGCAAAACATCTCTCTCTCTCTATTTCCTGCCCCAACTTAACTATTTTACATTAATTATTAGCTGAATAAAGAAACAACATAACATAAACGAGTATCTTGTTTTATGTTATAAGTACTACAACACTGATTTATTGCCTTACAATTTGGTAACTCATAAATATAAGGCTTACGTAGCCACCATGCACCGCCGAGTGTGGTGGTCTAGTGGTAAAAAATGTGGTTGGGTCCGTGTTCTAAGGTTCGAGTGTTGGTTGGTCCTCTTGGGAGTGTTGAAGGTGAAGGAAGCAGGTCCCAAATGATTGGAGATGATGTTGATATGCAATCAAGTGTAGCCCGTAAGAACACCTACCTACAAGTGGTGTATGAAGTTAGTTTATTTTATAAGAATGAAGATAATCTACTAGTATTGCACGTTTTTAAAAGATTGGATCATATTAAAATTGGAGGAGCCACCTACATATCTAAGTGAGAGCATATGCCCCCCACTCAAATTTTAGAATTTTGGCTTTTATGTTTGAAACATTTTGTAAACATTTTAGCCGTGCATGCCTCCACATATTGAAGAAGTTAGAATTGCACTCCTACTCAATAATAATTATGCTTCTCTTCTAAAAAATTATATTATATTTTTAATATATCAGAAAAATGTGCATTAATATTCCTGTAGAGATTTTTCTCCCGTACCAAAGTTGTTTTTCAGACCATAAGCGCTGGTGGATAGAGTAGAAGCGATTAACTTGGCACCTGTGCATTTTCCATTGGCATTAGCCATGGATTCCTGATTGTCCTCTGATATGGGTAACAATTTTTTATTTTTATTTTTTAAACATATGCACATGTTTTGCATGATTAGCTAATAATTTTCATAAAAACAAAGCCATAGTTGTCTCCTAATTATATTTCGTAAGCTACTTAATTACTTGTGGTTCTGATTACTGCAAACGCCAGACTCAACGTGGAGCGGAATGGTATGAAGTCATACAAGCCATCTCCGGAGATATCGGTAAAAATGTTATGTCTGCAAACTCATGTGTTCTATCAAAACTTGTACGACTTGATCTCCCAAGTCAGTCATTCTTTGTTAAGTTATGGATCTCTTGAACGTAGGCCGGAGTTTTAATCACCTACAGAGTTGAGAGGTAATTAGTAAATAATGTCATGTTTATTAGGAAAAGT